ACTGAGTACAGTTTCAAAAGGCGATTGAAAAACAGTGTACTGAAAAGTCGATATCCTGCCGGGTTAGAAATATTATAGGATTTTGCCGCAAGATAATCAGCATTACAACCTCATAGAAAATAGCTGATCTTTTGAGACGATATATTAATCGAGTCGATTTTTGACTTCCTTATGACAACTGAAACTCCGTTCGTCAAGGCCATGTTGCATTGACCAAAAGAAATGATAAAATGGTGGAAAAATGTCCGGTGAATACGGCGGATGGGGTAGGACTTCCTAACGAAGTGTTCCCAGACATTCCCTCACTCGGTGTCGTGCTGTGTGGTCACCTTACCATGTATTTCAGCATGTTTTGGCCTTTTTATGTTCAGTGTTCAACTCCAAATGACCACGAATACCATTTAGCGAATATGCGCGTGCTTTAGGTAAATTCTCATCCGGCCAGTACGTTCATATGAGAAGGGGGGGGTACAAGAAAAACCTTTCGTGGGAATTTTCGCAACTCCAAAACAGTCCAAAGTTCTAGCGGTGTTAAAAGCACTTAATGGGTACCTGCATTTTAACACCAAGCTAGTGAAGGCGAAGGAAATGGCCACGTTTATTGGCGACTGTTTTGGGAGAAACGAGTATCCGAACTACCGCTGGATAGCGCTGCGGAGTGGTCGTACAGTTATTACCACCAAAACCCAGAGAATCAACTGGAAAGCACGTGTGTAAAGATGGAAAAACTGGAATGTCATGTGTGTCAACGTGCAGAGGACGAAAGACAATAATTTGTGCTGGCAAAGGCACATACAGAGAAGTTAAAACAGCTTCGGGAGGACAAAGATATCTTGGTAACTAGACCGGACAAAGGAACAGGCATCGTTATAATGAACAGATTCTGCCGTCTCAGTTGTGTTGTCTCTCCTGTTTGAGTTGTTTGGTTGTCTTTGTGACCCACTAAACGGGCCACGTGGCAGATGCGCTGACCAACAGGGGGGCCATATTGGATCCTGGCAGGCGTTATCTGACTGCACATCTCGGGGTGCGGTAGCAGACCCAGTTGCCAGCAGACGTCGCGCACACCGGGATCCCTGCGGCCCTCCTCACTGTTGTTGGTGTTGGTCAAAACGTAATCCGTATTTCCAGGCCAGAAGAAATTCAGAAAAGTGAACAAGGCAAAGGACTGCATGGGTAAAGTAGAGGCACAACTGACTGACTACCTAAGAAAACTCCACACAGAGGGTTTCATAAGCGACCGTAGCCTCGAACAGCTCCGACCAGTCGGCACGCATATCCCTCGATTGTAGATCTACAAAGACGGCCTGCCAGTTCTTCTGATTTTTGACATGCGTAACTCTCCGTAGCATTCGATAGCTAAGTGGTTAGCAATGAAACTCCATACAGTATCAACCAGCACCGCGTGGCTAAGGGGATACCTTCGGATTTATCGACGACATCAAAGACCTGAGCGTAGACAGAACGGTGATGTTTTCGTTCTTCATAAGCGTCCTAGTCATACAGACGGTCGATCACACCTGCGAATACCTAGTGGTTGATCAGCAGGAAATAGGAATACCGATGAATGAGCTGACGGAACTATTACTATGATGTACACTTAATGTGCGGCTCCTTTCTGACAACCAACTCTGTGGACAGATAAACGGCGTTGTTATGAACTTACCTCTTGTTTCTCTATTGGTCGATGTCTTCATGGCAAAGTTGGGGGAATTTCAACCAAACGACCTGGTTAACAGGCTAAGACACTATGGTCGCCACGTCGATGACATCGTCTCTATCGTCACTGCAGAAAGCAACATGGCACAACAGTCGATTAAGTTCACGGTGGGGATGGAAATGGCAGGTTCAATCCATTTCTTACATGACCTTCTAAGCAGAAGGGCTGACGGCAGCGCTTGAAGGAGCATCTATTGGAGGAAAACTTGGTCTGGACAATACACGAACTTATACGAACGAAAACGCAATCTAGTCCGTTTTCGGCACAGAGGGCCAGAAAAACCTGTTCAGCAGAGAGCATCGACGAGGAACTTAGAAAGATTCAGGACCTGCTTCGCGAGAACAGGTATGCCAACAAGTTTATTGCGAAGAATATTACAGAGAGACCGGCAAAACCCATCGCAATGACGACAGAAAAGAAAGCTCTGTTCCTGAAAGTTCCTTTTAAAGGGGACGCAGCGAGTGAACACCTGAGAAGACGCCTTGATTAGGTTGTTTCGCGGATCTTCGCAGTCACGAAAGTTCGGGCATTAGTCTCGACCAACCTCGTTTTACACAGGGATGGTAAGGACAGGTTGCAGTTCAGACCACTTTCATGTGCATTTATTTCTTCACTTGCTCCTGTGGAGCAGGTTACGTTGGTCGCACGGGTAGGCACCTACCCACAAGAATACGGAAACACCTCCCGGAATGGTTGGGAAAAGGCGAAATCAAAAGCATACACAATGCCTTTCTAGCACACATTGTTGATTCTTGGCGTCGTGTGGACTCCAGCGCAGACTTCAGTGTGATTTACAAGGTCCAACCAAACTATCCTAGGCCACTGGGTCGGCGTCAGCTAGCAACAACAGGGGCGACTGCCATCAGTTTACGAAAGCCGGTCTTGTGCGCACAGAAGAACCTGGCAAAAGCCCCACACCTGCCGTGGCCAAAGGTCGCTCAACTGCATGCACTCCCCCGCTTCCTCTCCCTCCGTCCTTCAAACCCTCACTGCCCCTAACACACTGTCTCTTATTCCTCCCCCCTGTCCATACACCCCACTTGTATGAAAAGACAAACGATCCCCCTTATCACTCACATGCTTTGTTTGTACCACCTTCCCATATAAATACACAGACCCGATGAAAATTTATCAAAAGTACACCTATGTTCGCCAACCAGTCTTCTGAGTCCTTTCATGGGAGTTTTAACAGGTTTCAGACTGATTAGTTATTCTTATCGACCCAACTGCGAGAAACTCGGCGCCCCGGTTGGGTTCGAACTCACGACAGTAAGGTGAAGGCTTTAGTACAGCCAACGCTCTAATCACTTGAGCTGCGAGGCCCTGCCGGACGGCGCGAGTTTAATCACATTTGGGTCAAGTTTCCCGCCCAACCTACTGCAACGTCTGGAATCCACCAAATCTGATACAGTTAGTTGACTGCCCAAGCAGGATTTCCTAAGTAATTCACCTAGAATCCACCAGATGACTACCAGACGCACGCAATTCATAGATGTTTTGGCAGGGCCTCGTAACTCAGGTGGTTAGAGCGTTGGCTGTACTAAAGCCTTCACCTTACTGTCATGGGTTTGACTCCCACCGAGCCGCCGAGTTTTTCACAGTTGGGTCAATAGGAATTATTCAAAACGTGCCAAAACATCTATGATTAGTTATTGTTAATATCACTCAGAAACAACGGTTTCAGATGGCGTCTGATACTTATAGTACACCACCCCTTTTCATCCTACCCAAATGCGCTGCATAAGTTTTCTTCGATGAATAGTCTGCTTTGGTGTTGATGCTAATGTTTGGGTAGGCGTCGTCCATGGAAGTTTACGTTTAGGATTATCGCAACAGATGCATTCTTCGTCATTAGTCATGATTGGATGCAAAAAAGAATGTCGTGATAGCAATATTTCGCATGTGGTTTTATGCTTTTCGTTTTGTCGTCCAGTTAATTCACATGACACTCAAATTCCTTATTTTCGTATCATTCTAAATGCATGTAGACATCTGTCAACAACGGGTCTATAAACTCCCAATGTCTCTGACACATCTTCAAGCGTTTGAGCTCTGTCATGATCGACTAACGTTCCCATTCCTTAATGCTCAAATTTTTCTGGCTGTCCTAACTGTTCCTTATCTTCTTTGTAAAAAATAACCAATTCTAAAGCGTCCAAGACATTTAGTGCATGCTTTTTGCAAAGAAAGCATGTTTACCATTTACTGCCCCAAGTAAATGATGACTTTCAAAAGTATATTTTCAAATTAGGACAAAAAACGATGCTTGCCGCAACTGCTCCATCTTTGGCTCAACATTTTCGACTTCCTCCACAACAATAATGCCAATGTTAACGCTTCAACCAGGTAACGTAAGCTAAGTATGACAACTTTGTTCAAATACTTTATAATACATGTATTGTCGTTCTAAGCTACCTGAAAGCAGTACCTGTAAGAATGCGTGAAACAAAAGGCGCGAATTGACCCCCCTACCTAATTTATAGAAATTATACATTTGGCAGGAAATAAATTTGGTGACAGGATGGTAGTTAGTTATATACATAAAATGTATCATACTAAAAACGCGAGTGATCTTTTCGGAGGGGAGGAGTGCCGCTAGAATATCGACGAGAGAACCGCTGGGGAGTTTAGCGTTGTTCGCAGTTACAGAGTAGACCCAAGATATAGTAGATGTGCTAACTCATGAAATGCTAACCGGAATTCTGAAATGCGCTTTCCATTCGAAATGATTACTTAAGTACGGTTGTAATATTAGTCATTGTACAGCATAATCCCATGATAATTCAGTTAGTTCAAGATGCCGGCTTTTTGGATGAACTTATTTCCGGCCGCATCCTAAAACTACACTCTGTAAAAAATTACTACCTAATTAGCATGAATTTTTCTCATAGATTTTCGATGCTCTTATAAATTTAAAATATTTCATAGAAAACATGAATAAAAATATTCATATTCTTACTCATTTGGTAGAAAATTACATCCTCTTTAAACTTTGTACTTGAAGAAAATGTTTAATTCGGTTTTAAATTGTCTAATTATGAGATTTTCTAAGACCGTGAAATGCTCGTTCATAAAGCATCGTGTCTCTGCATTTACTAATATTGTTTGTATAGTTTACAATATGGCTCAAATCGACTATTAAATTGCATGAACCCCATATGGTGTCCTCTTAATACCATTTGGAAATGTATGATTTTTGTACACGGAAAATATACAGCTTGTAGTTTTGAAACCCTGAATGCAGATGTAACGGCAGGTCGGGTTCAAAATTATTCAGGAACTAGCTGAACCAGGCCACGCGTTGCTGTGGCTCAGTCTGATGAAATGGAGAAGAAAGAAAAGGGGAATAGGGCGCGTTTCTAATATGTTTAATTTCACAATGCTTGTGGGTATACGATATGTTTTGTCGTTGCGTTGTCCGTGCAGGTATGAAGATCGTCTGGTTTGCCGACTCCGGGACACGCGATTTATAGTTGTCCATATGAGAAACATTCCGTTTGCATATCCAGACCGCACAATTCTAAAGATGGTCCTGAGCTTGGTTTTATGGTGATTGCAGCTGCCAATCGAATCAGGAATAGCAGTCGCCCAAATTGGAATGGCACTTCAGTAGGAATCAGTGGAATACGAGGCATAGGGACATGCTCACCTTTAAAAGGTCCTGTCAACGTAGTTGATTCACGACGTTGCCATTAATGTTTTTACTGCATGCCGCATGCCGTCGCAAAGCTTCGGTCGGTTGGTATTACGCAACATGACAATCGGCACGCCGATTTTAAATTGTAGTACGTGCGGCGGCATCCCTGGCAGCTCAAGGGAATTCAAAAAATTCTGTTGGATAATTAACTACCTCGCCTACTTCCACAACGGTGTCGACGGAGGTGTGTGTGACTGCCTCGCTATGAATCCTAGACTGAATAATATGGTCGTTCTCGACCGCAAGAATAGCTTGTTCGCCCAGCCAATCGTGCTTCATATAATTGGTTTGAATATTGGGAAACATCCTTTCAACCAATTCTTCTTTTGGCGACACCAAATTGCCGAGAGTAAGAAGTATTGAAATGCGCCCTGAAGTCGGATCAACCGGCACCGTTCCTTTACCAATGGCCGGCAATTAGTGCGAAAATATTTCAGCTAGTCGGTCGTTTTGCAGCTGAACACGCATATTCGTAGTTAATTTTAACGTTTGGACTTGGCGCCAAAAGGTAGAGTATTTCAGGTAGGTATTTATTCCGTCAGATGGTGTTGGTCGAGGAATTACAGGCAATGTTTGCCTGGAGTCTCCTGCAAGCAGTAGCAGTGTATATCCAAAATGGTCTGGTGTTTCCGCGCAAATCTTGCAACGTTTGATCAAGGACCTCGAGCCCTTTTTGTGAGTTATTGTACATTCATCCCAAACAATAATTTCGCATTTCGGCAGTACTCTTCCCGTGCCAGATGCCCTTAAAATGTTGCACATAGGAGTTCCCATGAATTGGACGTTCAACAGCAATTTCAAAACTGAATGAGCAGTTCTTCCACCAGGTAGCGGGTTTGAAGCTATTCCGGAGGAAGCAAGTGCTAAGGCCATTTCATTTTTGGGTCGTATTGCTGTGAGAATCATTCGTGGTGGGAACTTTTGCCAGTCACTCCTGGCGCCTCTAAGGAAATTCCCCCAACCCCGTTATTGACAGTTCGCATTGTCTGATGGCAAATGCCATTCTGCTCCACTGTTAGCTTCGATTGAAGACTCAAAACAAGATCTACCGTGTTGTAGCTTTGTTCGCGGCGCAAATCCACATCTACCGAAACAGCAGTAGATCGGTTTGATGATGGCATTCCCAGTTGATTAAGAACTGTGTTGGAGATTCCTACGCCCATGTCCTCAATCTTTATCAACACCTTGTTGTACATTTCTGTTGTGAAATTCACAGTTGAATTTTCCTTGCATAGTCGACGGAAGATGTCTTCAGCCATGTGTGATATATATTTCTCCCATAAAATCGAATTATAACTTTTCTCCAAGTATACAATTTGAAGAAGACGTAGTTTTCCACCAAATGAGTAAAGGAATGAGTATCTCAGCAGTTAACAGCTTGCATGCCGTCCATCAAGCAGTTAGCGCACCAGCGGGCAAAAATTCTTGAAGAAGGGGAGGGCGGTTAATTATCGTAGGTATACAGTAACATGGCGACTGCATCCTATAAATACTGCAGCTTCCTATGCACGAATCACCCATTTCTGTCATTGTCTCTGATGATGGGCTCAAGTGGGAATCCGAAACGTCAGGCGAATAAAGCCCTTGTTCCAGCGATCGCTTCGAATTCTTATAAACTAGTTCCTGGAACTCGCTTGTATCGGCAATTTTCATTAAGGTTTTCTGTGAAATATTTTTGAATTTATATGAGAATAGAAAATAAATGAGAAAAAGCCATTCTATGTAGATGGTCATTTTTACGGAGTGTAGTTTTTGTAAGCGGCCGGAAGGAGGTTCATTTAAAAGCCGGCGTATCTAACTAACTGAATTATTAAGAGATTGTGCCGCATGGCAATTAGTATTACAACCCTACTTAAGTAATCTTTTCGAGTTAGAAACGAATTTCGGAATTTTGACAAATATTTCTTTAGTTAGCACACCTACTGTAGTTGATCGACATCAGAGAGAGAGGGGAGCAGGAAGGGAGAGGGAAGAGAGTTGATGAGCGAGCAAAGGGACGCCGGCACTCGATTATATCAGCCTTAGCTTACCGTCCCGTAGGGGTGTCGCCTTCACCGCGATTCAAGTGAAATCTTCGTCAGCTTTAGTGGTGTATTACAGTATCATTAGTGTGACAACAGCCCTCATCTTTAACAAGGTAAATAACCCTCTGCTCCATCTGCCGAGTTCGAAAATCCGCAGGGTTATGTCTTTCGATCATAGTGTTTGGAAGATCTTTTTCTGGGAATTGTTTTTACTTGAAAATGCAAACGAATTATCTTATTCTTTTTCTGCCCGGCAATAATTTTAGGTTACTTTCCCCTCCGCATTCCGGCTCTTTTGTGAGACCCCAAATAGTTGAATTGGGATTTTGAAGGGCTACCAAAGCAGCAATCCTCAGTACCGTTCTAGCAAACAGGGTTTTGTTCACCACAGAATAGGTCAAACGTTTGTGCACTAGCTCTTATAACCGCATTTGAAGCGACGGCCTGAGATGATCTTCACGGGTATGGGGTTACTTTTGATTGACAGTTCGGATACGGAGGCCGGTGATCCATTATTAGGGACCAGTCAAACAGTCAACTTTCAGTGCTGTTATAGAAAAGTGATTTGTCGTGAAAGACGAAGTGATAGTGTCTCACCAATGATCGGATTAAATGTAGAGGCTTTAAACAGAAATCGCAGCCCACGTGGAATGTGTGCCTTGATAACTTTTGTTCCGAAACTGATATTGGGGGAAGAGGTGAGCCGTTTCAAACAACCTTATCTAACTACAAGCATTATTTAGTAATTAACGACTTATTTCGTGACAAGACGGGAAATTTGATTACCCACGCGCCCGATAAACATACCTTCGTAATTTTTAATACTCGGGATGACAGTTGGAATTCGACTTCGAATCCATCTACATTAATTCCCGAATTAGAATTCCGGGACAGAGAAGAAGAGGAAGACAGAAGAAGAAGAGGAAGAAGAAGAAGAAGAAGAAGAAGAAGAAGAAGAAGAAGAAGAAGAAGAAGAAGAAGAAGAAGAAGAAGAAGAAGAAGAAGAAGAAGAAGAAGAAGGAAGAAGCGAGAAGTAGACATCGTGGCCGTTGATGCATGCTGTTTGCTCCCCGGATCCTTTTACATGCCGTCAAATTCCTTAGGCCATGACCACCGTCCGTCACACTGACACTCCGCCACTCGACCTCGGTGTGTCTTGCCCGGCTCTGACCGGGGGGGTTACGCGGGGTGGGCTGGGATCGGCCAATGCGCGAACACATTTGTTCGTCAGTCAGGAGCGAGAAAACGGTAGCTACGCGCATGCTGTTTGGAAAACCTGGTCTGAATAACGGCCGTTAATAAAGACGGGAATGGCTGAACAGTGCAACAGACCCTGCGGGCAGTTGACAACGGAGGCAGGAACTGATGCATGAAGTAGTGGATAGCTATCGAATCGGAAGAAGCGAGACGAGTGAATGCGCAAGTAAGTTATTTCTGACCCATAAACAGGCGAGAAGTCCAATTCAACATTTTCTATAAATGTGGTCGCTCAACATGTGCCCAAAAACGGCTGTCAATAATTATAAATCTACATTCGTCTTGGAAGCTGCTAGCAAAGATAAACAGGACTACATCAGCACTGAAAAAACTCGGGATATGAAGGTGCTCCTTAAATAAAGACTTACCTCTAATTCTGCGAAAATTTCAATATTACGATTGAAAAGTCAATTGGCTAGCATATGCTTTCGGTAATTTCTCATTAGGCCTGTACAATTACAAGGGAAATGATCAATCTAATTGTCGACAGGGTATAAATGCGTCTCGGGAGCTGGGTTAATCGAACTCCATGTTCCCACGCCGCCCGCATGACGGCGTCAGCGTGTTGAGGACGATGGAGTTGGGGTGGGAGGGGAGGGAGAAAGAGTTGGAGTGGGAGGGGGGGAAGTAGAGGGGTTCCGAGAAAGACAGGGATCGAACCGAGACAATCGAGAGGCAGTTAACGAATGTGCTCAAAGATCTACAAAAGGAAGGATTTCTGTCTGACAAGGAGTTTGAAGGACTAAAACCTGTGGGCACGACGATACCCAGAATGTATGGTCTTCCAAAGATTCATAAACCCGGGCTACCACTACGTCCAATCTTGGACATGAGAAATTCACCCTATCACGCAATAGCAAAATGGCTGGTAGAAAAGTTAAAACCGCTTCAAAGTTGCCTGTATCCGCGAAGTTTGAAAGACACCTTTGAGTTTGTAGAGGCTATCAAGAATGTTAACGTGGACGGACAAACGATGCTCTCGTTAGATGTATCATCACTGTTCACCAACGTACCCGTTGTGGAGACAATAGACTTCCTGGTCGACTACATCAGGGAAACAAACTACCCGATAGGCATGACAGTGGAGATGCTAAAAGAACTACTTACGAGATGCACACAGAATGTCCAATTTCTCTGCAACGGCCAGCTATACAGGCAAATAGACGGTGTGGCAATGGGTTCACCGCTTGGACCGTTTCTCGCAAATGTCTTCATGGGCAAGGTCGAGCAAACGAGTCTCAAAGATACCATTAATGACCTTAAATTCTACGGTCGATATGTGGACGATATCTTTTGCATGACGAGTCATACCACCGACATCAATGGCCTAGTTCAGAAGTTTAACGGTGCGCACCCATCTCTGATGTTTACCGCAGAGACCGAGACGAATAACGAGATCGCATTCCTCGATGTCCTTCTACACAGACAAGAGGATGGATCCATCCAACGCAAGATATTCAGAAAGAAAACCTGGACGGGACAATACATTAATTTTCACAGTTTTGTCCCCTTAAATCTAAAACGAAATTTAGTCCAGGGACTGGCGGCTAGAGTGAGACGCATCTGCTCTCCTGAAACTGTTGAGGCAGAACTCCAGCAGCTGCAAAACAAGCTCCGCGAAAACGGCTATCCAGAGCGATTCATCCTCCGGAATATTAGAGAGCGGGCCACAAAACCGGCCGTTGCAACTGCGGAAAAGAAAGACTTATTTCTAAGACTGCCTTTTCTAGGAGACGCAGCAAGCGAATTAGTGAGACGACGACTCAGGACAGCTCTCGCAAGTGCCTTCCCCGCGGCGAACTTGCGCGTATTCTTCGCGAATTCCCCCCTACTACGGTTGGGGGGCAAAGACCGACTGCCGTTACAGGCCACATCCATGTGCATTTATTCATTCACCTGCTCCTGTGGAGCGGGATATATTGGCCGTACAACCAGGCGTCTGGAAAAGAGAATACGCGAACACATGCCTGCCTGGCTAGGTAGAGGTGAACATCGATCGATTTCGAGTTCAATTCTCGCACATCTAATCGATACGAACCATCAAACCGACGCTAAAGAAGCGTTTAAAGTTATCTACCGGGCACCGGCACACTACTCTAAAGGCCTGCGCAAACGGGTGCTAGCCACAGCCGAAGCAGTGGCCATTCGACTGACGAACCCAGCACTCTGTTGTCAGAAGACGCTGACACAAGCAGTCTGTCTGCCCTGGCCGACTCCAGACAAGGATCGCACGCCGTCCCGACACACTGAGAGCAGTTACACGCACTCACAGCGCCTACAATCTAACCGGAACCCCTCTACTTCCCCCCCTCCCACTCCAACTCTTTCTCCCTCCCCTCCCACCCCAACTCCATCGTCCTCAACACGCTGACGCCGTCATGCGGGCGGCGTGGGAACATGGAGTTCGATTAACCCAGCTCCCGAGACGCATTTATACCCTGTCGACAACTAGATTGATCATTTCCCTTGTAATTGTACAGGCCTGGTGAGAAATTACCGAAAGCATATGCTAGCCAATTGACTTACCTCTAAGTAAAACGTCGACAGCTTCGAAATATCCGTACCGTGATTTGGTTGGTTTGCTAAGTGTTCCAGCACTGTTTGATCGAAACCTGTTTATATAGGGTGTAAGTTTTTTCTAAATGTTCGTAGTGTTCGAGTTCTAAGTGAGGCGAAATCCGGTCACTGGTTTACGTACAAAGTCTATGGCGATAGACTTGAATCTGTTCCGACGAGGTTTGGTTCTGTAGCCCCATTTGATTGATACCGTATAGCTAGCTTGCTAAAACAATATTAGATAACATACCTAACTAAGCCACTCGCTGGATTAGGAAGGGAAAGAGAGCGCGAGCAGAACTCGAACAACGCGCAGGGAAGCAAGTGGAGGTGACATGTACACATTCTACCCCCGACGCAGCCACTTGCTGGGTTAAGGATAAGGAGGGTGCAATCACAACTGGAAGGCTACAGAGGGAACCGCGTGGTAATTCGCAGTGCACGACCACTGTGGTGGAACCGACGGAGTTCCACACCATCCGAACAATTCCATTTGCAAGTCTATTTAGCCGCTCGCTGGACTGAGATAATAAAGAGGGTGCCAGCAGAGCTCGAAGCACGCACAGGGAAGCCCGTGTGAACTGATAACTGAAGTAACCGAGGCTGGCGTATAAGCACTCCTACCCCAGCGGCGCAATCACTCGTTGGATTAAAATGGTAAGGAAGATGCAAATGCGTGATATTTTTGAAGTCAGCTGTTCGCATCTATTAAAATTTTACCAGAAAACTAACCATATGGTATCAATCAAGTTGGGCTGCAGGACTAAACTTTGCCTCTGTTCCTCATCACCTAACTTATTTTCGAGCCTAGATAAATAAATATTTTGGTGAAATTAAAACTACAATTTCTCAAATTGTTTATAAGTGAGAGAAAAGGCAATCACCGAAAGGGTCGCTAAGAGCAGACATCCATATGGAACCTTTAGAGGGGTGGGCTGGTTTCAACCTAATCTTGCTAAACACAAAGACATTCGCTATTCTGCTATCACAATCACGGGAGAAACGAAAATAGGGGGGTCTCTAAGTCGGCAGTTAGTTAGCCTGATTCTATTTTTAAACATACCGTTTGCAAGTACACTTTGCGTTGGGGAAGCACCAAACAGAACGAATCCAACTGTTTCCTCGTTCTACATCATCCGCCCGTCGGTGACTTTGCTAACCGAGTCGGGGGCTCATATGGCGCAGTTTGATTCAGAGTTTAAGTATTGCCTTCGCAGACGATTTTCTGTAAAAATTTGTGCGAAAGTCCTTTTTCCTCGACAGGACGACAGAAAACTGGGAAGTTTTGATAAATCAACCTCATTTTTCCAGCTTATTAACTTTACAGTCTCATAGGAAGCGCCTAAACACCAGCAACGGGTGCAGGGTTCTAACAAGGAGAATGCTTAATTTTGGTTTTTCTGTGCAGGGCACTATCACAACTGGTCGAAAAAAGGGATTCCTAGATAATGGCATCCCGACAGCAGACTGTGCTTTGACAAATGTTCACTCAGTCTCGATGTACATGCTGAGACTTTCTAGCACATTCCAACTTTTTCGCCATCTGTCTCTCCAGTATCTTCAGAACAGTCTTTTTGGGAATAAGGGAGAAAATGCGGAGCTATCCTGCCTGCATAGTATTCCTCTTTCCCTGAGGACTTGTAGACTTTTTTCCTGCTTACATTGGTACTTTTTATGCGGCGTGTTATTTCTCCCTCCAAAGCCCGAGGAAGTATCCGCGCGCATGGCGTCAGCTAAACGGTTGAATTCGAAGGAATCCAAAGAACTTTGGCAAAATTACGTCGCAAATGACGTGAGTAATGTCATCATTCGGTGCTATTACCCACCCTATCAGAATTTATTCTTCCCCTCCTTGCTCGCGAGGCCATCTGATTTCCCAGACTGTCTTTCACAGGCCTGGTGATGCATGAAAACGCAATTATGCGCCCGTTTAGGTTACTGGCCTGATGCATGCACTAAAAAGGTCTCCAAAAAGTGTCCTGTTCATTCGTTCATAGCACTCTCAAAATCCGGCGTTTCTGAAAATGCCGCAGCCATTTCCCTTTACCAGCATGATCACTCCATTTTTTTTCAAAAATGCGCCTGGGGAAGTGGGAGATTTCCCGTCGCGACTTCGGTCGGCGTTCCCGGAATAACGATTTAAGGAAAGGGCCTCGCTAAAAGCAGTTCGTAATTCGGGAAGGACCCACAGTCCAATCAAGTGGAATTGTATCTATGTCTTTTTAAAT